GTAGCACGCATGTACACAGACAAGCTGTCCTCTGTAGCACGCATGTATACAGACAAGCTGTCCTCTGTAGCACGCATGTACACAGACACAACAAACAAACTAATCAATTATGTTAAAAATAAATGGAGAGTGGAGGAGGAGGAGATGCTAGCTGTCACCTCGTACACAACCGTGCACACCTGCACAGTCCAAACTCAGAAAATGTAGGTTTCAAGCCACGTGTTGTGGACTCAGGAGATTAAGGTCATAGTGTCCCCTTTGTGAGCCTGAGACCCACAAGGGCTGTATAGTGAGATGCTGTCTCAAACATCAGAATATGAAGAGGAGTGTCCTGTTTCCTAGGAAGTTCTGAGTTGTCAGTGGAGGTCAAGAAATATCCACCCTAAGTAATGTTGGGGAGGCTAGTACTAAACCAGATACTATATATATTTACTCTGTATACAAAGATACAAGTATACGTACACCACTCACACACTAGAAAGGGAATGTGCTCTTTTGCTAATACAAAGAAATTAGTATGGCGGTTTGAGAGAAAGTGGCCCCCAAGGAGTGGCGGTGCTAGGAGGTGTGGCCCTGCTGGAGGACGTGTGTCAGTGGCGCCAGGCTTTGAGATCTTACATATGCTCAAGGTACCGCCCGGTGTCACAGTCTGCATCCTATTGCCTGCATTATCAAGGTATAGCAGCTTTTTCTCCAGCACTGTGTCTGCCTGCAGGCCACCATGCTCCCTGCCATGATGATAACAGGCTGAACCTCTGAAACTGTAAGCCGCCACCTCAATGATCACAGTGTTTCTTCACAGCAGTAGAAACCCTAAAACAGTCAGCAACTCAGAAGAAACTTCTCCCCTTCCCAGAACGGCTGACTAACAGGATTGGATTGGTGAACTATAACTTTGTGGAGGGCGGTTGCTGGGGTGTAACCACCAGGGCTTTGTGCAGCGCTAGGAAGGTGCTCTGCCATTCAGCTGTGCCGCCATCTCTAAAATTAACATCTTCTGGGCCCATCCTGGGAGTGTAGGGTACAGTTTGGTTTGGGTAATGCCATATTCTAATTTTAGTATATGTTCTTTTTGTCTGTTATAGCAGATATGAAACCAGTAATGAGATCTTTTAATCAGTGGTGGCTATTTTCCAAATACAGACAGCAACTTTCTGTCCAGTGAGAGAGGCAGTTAGGTCAGCTTGCGTATGGCGTGATATACCTACTGATTTCAGTAGTGAAAGTCTCATTCTCCAGTTACCATGTGAGGCAGATAGAGAAAATAAGTATGCAAAATTGGTCTCAACTCTTTTAATAGTTAGCAAACCAACCCTGGGGCCTGCGAGATGGCTCAGCAGGCAGATGTGCTTGCCTGGCAAGCCTGGTTATCTGGATCCAATTCCTAGAACCCATTTTAAAAAAGCCGGACATGGTAGCAGCCCTTGTTCTCCCAGCTTTAACCGTGAGATCAGAAGGAGACAGGGACCACTCAGAAGCGAGCTAGACTGTGTAGTATACAGAAGCTACAGGAGAGACCCTGGCTTCACAAGTCCCAGTCCTCAAACCGTAGGATTGCCTTTTTGTCCTTGATTGTTAAACCTGTTTTTAGTTGGCAAAAGATGTTCAAACAGTTGAAGCTGAACCTATTAAATATAAACTTAACTTTAATTACTACTGGTTAAATTAGCAAGCATTTGATTCCAGTTATGTCCAAGACCTCAAGGGTAGTGTGCAAAGATGTGTTAATTAGAAATGAAGCTGGGTGTGGTTGTGCTTACTAGTAATTCTAGCACTTGGGGGTGGGGGCTCCAGGATCAGGAGTTCAGGTTCAAGGCCAGCCTTGGCTCCAGTTGACGCTGTCTTGGAAGAAAAATGAAAGTTTCTTGAAAGCAGAGTAGCAGCCTATTAATAAAGGTTCTGGCTAGAGATATTTTTTTCATACTTTGGTTTTTGAGGCAAAGTCTGGGTATGTATCCCTGGATGGCCTGGATTGTGTCGTGTGACTCTGGCTGGCCGTGGTAGCCTAGAACTGTTGTGATGACAGGCATGTACCAGAACACTCGGCTAGACATCCTTTCCTTCTAGGATCAAAGGGTGATGTCCACAACCTTCTCTTTATTGTTGTTGTTTTTTGTTTTATTTTTTTTGTTTTTCTGAGACTGGGTTTCTCTGTATAACTGCCCTTGCTGTCTTGGAACTTGCTCTGTAGATCAGGCTGATGTCAAACTCATAAAGATCTGCCTGCCTCTGCCTCCCGAGTACTGGGATTAAAGGCATGCACCATCACTGCCCAGATACAACCTTCTTTTTCACCTGGAGCAAAACCCAGTCCAAGAAGTAGTTTGGATAGAAACAGTGTTACAGGACATGCATGTTTAAAGGATTTGGGGCATAAAACAGTGCTAATGACAGCCAAATGAAACATAGATTGAGCTAGTAGATTTCTTCCAAGTATTTATTACCATAACAACTTTGTTTTTTGGTAACTTTTGTAAAGTACCATTAGCTACATTTTCCATAAACCTTTATGGAATGACGTCACCGTGACTGGCAGTCAGTTCAGAGGACAGCTGCAGTGAGTGGGCGTAGTTTGTCGCACGTTTATTTGTACTGAGTAGTCCTCCCGTTCTCTCCAGCTTATTGACGGCCACTTTGATACCAAGATTGGACACAAAGTGGAGAGCGAGAGTTACCGGAAGATTGCAGATAGCATCGGGTGTTTAACCAGCAACATCTTGTTTCTCACAGACGTGACTTTAGGTAAGGAACCGGCTGCTCGGTTTTGGTTCTTGTTTCCTTGATGTAGTAGTGAGGGAAGCAGCTTGACAGGAGTAGAGGTTTGGTTTTCTCATGGTTGCTGTGTCATCTCGCACAGTCACAGATCAGGAAGCACAGGAGACCAAAGCAGAGCTGGGCCGTACCCTCTCCTGCCTACATCACCTATTTCCCGAAAGTTCCACAACCTCCCCGATCTTAGCATCACCTGATGGAGACAAAGTGATGACATGCCAGAGCTGTGGGGAGCAGCTCACCATCCCACTGGAGCAGCTCTCTCGTGTGTTAATGTCCGCATCATCCCGTGGAAGGGTTCAGGGCTAAGAGCGCTTGCTGTATAGTCATGAGATCCTGGGTTCAGATCCCCAGGAGCAATATAACCAAATATGTCTCTATCTACCTGGAATCCTAGCCTTAGTGAAGAGAGATGTGTTCTGTAGACTGGGACAGAGGTAACGGTGTAAGTTATTATTTTGAGTTGTTGGGAACGGTGACCAGAACGGGAGCTGCATGAAGACAGGAGCCCTATTTGTTACACGTCTCTCGTCCACCTGTGGCTCCTAGCTCACAGCAGATGCTTTTACAGATGGTAGCGTTTGTCTTTTGCATAAAGATAAGATGGAGAGATGAATGTAAGCCAAGGTGTATTAGAGACAGCCGCTGTAGCGCCCGGCCTTCCTGAGCTAATATGATGGGTCTTGGTTTTCCGCTCTGCTGCCCAGCACTGTCCTAGTCCCTGATCATACTTCATTGGTGTTAGACCCTACAGCTTGCCCTTTGAGAAACAGCTCGGCTGTCTGGGGCTAATATGTAGGAATGGACAAAGGGCGTGGGCCAGAGCAGGCCTGTTACATTCGTCATTCACAGTATAGGATGAGCTGTGTTCTCTGCCATCATGTACAGTCAGGTGCTTTTTAGCATAGAATTAATATATATGTAAAGGACCTCAAGGTGTCCGTCTTTCAGCTGCAAGGAAAGCCAGGGCCCAGCTCACTTCTTGATCTCTCTCACAACTTGGCTCGTCTCAGGCGTCAGGTTTGATGCATCTCACCTGTCACCTGTCCTTTGCTTCTCACAGAGGCCAGTGCTGCTGAAGAGGCAGATGTGCATGTTGCTGTGGTGGTGAGACCCGGCAACGCGGGACTAACAGACGATGAGAAAACCTACTACAACCTCATCACGTCCTTCAGTGAGCTCTACCTGCCGTCAACATAGAGCAGGTTCTGAGGAAGGCTAAACTGTCCCCCTGATGTCTGTCTACCTTTATTCTAATTGTAAAAGTAACTTACTGTGTGTACACACAGACATATGCAAGTGGATATACATGTCTGTGTGCTCAGATTAATTTCCATGGCACATGTGTGAGCAAAGTAGTCAGTTCTGTGAGAACCAAATTCATGTAAAGATACTTTATGTGTGAACCATAACTCTAAGTTTAACCAAGGCCAGAGTGTATTTGACAGAAGAAACTGCAAATCAAATGTGTGATATTTATCAAATTGTTTATTGAAATGGAAAGCTAGTTTTGAGAAATTATTATCCAGAGACCTTGTTATTTTAAAAACTGGAAGTGCTTCATAGGCATTCGTAAGAGGAACCCCCGACTCTGCCTTGTGAACTCGAGTCACACTGTTGCACTCAGACTCGCTTCCCGTGTGCACGAGACAGAGCCGTTGGTTTCTGCCCGGACTCGCTTCCTGTGTGCACCAGACAGAGCCGTTGGTTTCTGCCCGGACTCGCTTCCTGTGTGCACCAGACAGAGCCGTTGGTTTCTGCCCGGACTCGCTTCCCGTGTGCACCAGACAGAGCCGTTGGTTTCTGTCCGGACTCGCTTCCCGTGTGTACCAGACAGAGCCGTTGGCTTCTGCTCAGAGGAGGGGAATTGTTTTGGTCAGTCAGGTGTCAGGTGGTGCTGGGCAGCATGTCCGCCTCTGGAGCAGTGTTCGTGGAGCAGCTGAGGAGCGGGGGCTCCACTACCCCTGCCAGTCTTAGCACCGTTTTATAGTTGCCTTCTTATGTCTTAGCATAGTTTGAGAATATATGTTAATGACTATTTTAAAAAATGTTTTATTGAAACCATGAAGAACTCTAACGTGTAATATTTCCTCTGAAATGGATGTGCAGATGTACATTTTATGACAGCATTGTTTATCCCAATGCTCTCCTGACAGGATTTCATGTCCGTGTCCTGGAATTAATTAATAAAGGCATTTAACTTTTTCAGTTTCATATAGATTGTGGAGTGTACTTCATGCTGCCAGAAGCAAAAAGGAAAATAAGCCTTGAACAACTGAACAGCTGGACTTTCTTTAGTTTTTGTAGTGTGTGATATGCCTGTCTCTTTTAACAGGCTATAAATGAAAATCATTACCTAGCTTCAACTTGTATTTATTTATTTATTTAATTTTTAAAAACTTAGTAGTTAGTTTATTTTTTATATATTTATTTATTATGTATACAATATTCTGTCTGTGTGTATGCCTGCAGGCCAGAAGAGGGCACCAGGCCTCATTACATATGGTTGTGAGCCACCATGTGATTGCCGGGAATTGAACTCAGGACCTTTGGAAGAGCAGACAGTGCTCTTAACCGCTAAGCCATCTCTCCAGCCCTTCAACTTGTATTTAAATGTTGTTACTATTTAATTCCGGCAGTTAGCATTCATGTATGAGTGAAGTTTCTTGGAACTTTAACCATGTTTTTTTCTCTTTTTAATTTTTTGTGTGAGTTTGTGTGTGACGTGAATGTGTAGTGTGATGTGAATGTGTGTGTGTGGTGTGAATGTGTGTGAGTGTGTGGGGTGTGAATGTGTGTGGTATGAACTGAGTGTGTGAGGCAGGACAGTGTGATAGTTGGTTCTCTCTTGTCATCTGGGGTTATGGGTATTGAATTTAGGTCTTGAGTCTTGGTGGCAGAAACCTTTACCCACCAAGCCATCTCATTTTTTGTTTTTTTGAGACAGGATTTTTCTGTGTAGCTTTGGCTGTCCTGGACCTCCCTTTTTGTAGACCAGGTTGGCTGGACTCAGAGATCCGCCTGCCTCTTCCTCATGATTGCTGGGATTAAAGGTGCGCACGACCACCATTCAGCACTATCTCGTGGTTTTTTTTTAAACTATGTAAGAATATATTTGAAGGAAACAGTTATTTTTCTAACTAATCAAGAAATCTTGGAAGAATAATTTTGGGGATACATTGAATAAGGGAAAGTCTTGCAAATGTGATGGGAGAAGGTGATAGAAAAAATGTTATGTTGACGATCTAGATTTTGTGTCAGACTAGAAAATAGAATCAAATTTATGTAAGCCATAGAAATGGGACTAATTTGTAAATGATGATAAAACCATAAACTAATGAAAGGGTCAGCTATATATATTTGTAGACAAGGACATGGGCAGAGGCAGAATGAGTTATTCTTTAATAGCATTGTCCTAGGGTTTTTGCTGTGAAGAGACACCATGACCACAGTAACTCTTATAAAAAGAATAATTGGGGTGGCTTATAGTTCAGAGGTTCAGTTCATTATTACCATGGTAGGACATGGCAGTGTGCAGGCAGGCATGGTGCTGGAGAGGCAGCTGAGAATTCTGCATAGTGCCACTCCCTTTGGGGGCCTTTTTCTTTCAAACTACAACATTTCATTCCCCGGCCCCGAAAGGCATGTAGGCACATCATAATGCAAAAGTGATTCAGTCTAACTTCAAAAGTCCCCATAGTCTGTAACAGTCCCAAACTTATTTAAAAGTCTAAAGTTCAAAATCTCTTCCAGATTCATGCAGTCTCTTAACTGTAATCCCCTGTAAAATCAAAATCAAAAAGCAGATCACATACTTCCAACATATAATGCACAGGATATGCATTAGCATTCCTTAAGGGAAGGGCGCATAGTGAGGAAATACTGGACCTAAACAAGACTGAAAACCAGCTGGGCAAGCTTCAGACTCTGCGTCTCCACGTCTGATGTCAAAAGGCTCTTCAGATCTCTCGCTCCTTTCAGCTTTGTGGGGTGCAACACACGTCTTTCTCTTGAGCTGATTCCATTCCTTGTGAGCAGCTCTCCTCGGCAGGATCCCATGACTCTGCCGTCTCCAACATCTTGGGGTCTCTAAGGCAGTCCAGGTTTCACCTTCATAGCTTCACACAATGACCTTCTAGGCCTCCATTCAGGGACACCCCTGACATGTGCCTGGCCTCAACGGCTTTCTTTAGTTGCAGAGATGGTTCCATAATACCTTTCTTCTATCCTTAACTCTAAAGCCAGAACAGTGTGGCCAAAGTTGGCAAATTCTGCTGCTTGCTGGGACTGGAACGTGGCCCCCTTGTTCAGTGATGTCTCCACCAGCTTTCTGTTTCAATAGTTTCCTTCACTGTCTAAGCTTGGCCTTTCTGGAACTTGCTCTGTAGACCAGGCTGGCTTCAGACTCAGAGATTTGCCAGCGTCCACCTCCTGAGTGCAGTTAAAGGCGTGCAGCACCACACCCGTCTCTAAGCTTTTCTTTAATTCCTTTTCTAGAATTGGAAAAGGAGGCCCTGGAGGTCACCACTTACTTTATTCCACTTCTTAATCTATCTGTCTCCTTGAACACAGGTCTTAACTCCATTCCGCTTCCTGCTGCTCTTCTTCTCCTCAAATTGTTCTAACATCTCATATTTTTCTTGCTCAGCTTGCTCCTTTTCTTATAAATCTTCATTAGAATTACCACCAGTAACCACACAGCAGAGTCTATAGTAGGCTGAGCTGTTTTGAAATTTAAGTCAACAGAATTAATCCAAATCTCTGCACTTTAGCCTCCGGCAGAACCTTCAGACAAGGTCAAAAAGCAGACACTTCCTTCACCAAAATATCACAAGAATGATCTCCAGACCACATATTAATATTATTATTCTCTGAAACCCCAGTCTTTGGTACCTGCTTCTGTCTTAGGGTTTCTGTTACTGTGAGGAAACACCATGACCACGACAACTCATATAAAGAAATCATTTAATTGGGTGGCTTAACAGTTCAGAGGTTCAGTCCATTATCATCATAGTGGGGCATGGCAGTGTTTAGACAGACATGGGTGCTGGAGAAGGAGCTGAGCATTCTACATGTTGCTCAGGCAACAGGATGTGAACTGTCTCACTGGGTGTAGCTTGAGTTTATATGAGATCTCAAAGCCCACTTCCATAGTGATTACTCCTCCAACAAGGCCAAACCTCCTCCAACAAGGCCACACCTCCTAACAGTGCCACTCCCTTTGGTGGTTATTTTCTTTCCAACCAGCACAAGCAGTAATTAGAAAAGTAAGGAATGGAGAGAAAGAGCCCCGTGTAGTGGTATATCCATATAATCCCAAACTTTAGCACTTTTCAAAGAGAACCTTTAATCCCAGCCGAGGTTGGAGGATCTCTGAGTTCCAGGCCAGCCTGGTCTATATACCAATGAGTTCCAGGACATTCAAGATTGCATAGAGTTTCAAACAAACAAATAAAAAATCCCCAACCAACCAAACAAGAAGCCCCCATCTTTAAGGTGCTGGAGGTGGCCCAGTAGTCAAGATACTGGGTGCACCTGTAGAGGCCCAGGATTTGGTTCCCAGCACCTACATGGTGGTTCACAACCATATAACTTCAGACTCAGGGGGTCATGTATCATATGCACATGTGGTCCACAGACATGCATGCATGCAGAACACTCATACATGTAAAATAAAATAGTTTTCCCCCCTGGGACAAGGGACTCTGGAAATGGTGGGTTTTTATGCCTGTCTAGACAGATATACTTTGTTCTGTGTTTTGGGAGAGAAGTCTCAAAAGCCGATTATCTAAATCAGAAAATCTGGAGTGGAAAGGTTTGCTATTTATGTTGGCCCTGTTTGCTGAACTTGACTCATGTTTATGAGCTGTCTTAGGGAAGGCTGACAGCATTGGCCTTAATGCTAATATGGGAGCAGAACAGGCTCTTCCCAGCAGGTGGTGCTCACACCTCACAGACCTTGTCAAATGGATGGCTTCTCATCATCAGATGGAGCCGGGAAGGAGAGGGGAGATGAATGAACAGTTCATTCCTCTTTAAAAACCAATAGCATGGTTTACAAGAACAGAGTAGTTGGGCAAACTTTTGGCAATAATGCCAACTATAACCCGTTCACTAATTCCTCTTCCCCCACTTGTATCTAATACATTTAAATAAGAACAACTTAATTTTTGAGTAGACAGGTTCTAGCAGCGCCGTTTAAAAGGGCTTGCTTTCATGTATCTCTCATTCCCATCAGAGAAAAATATTGAATATAATATGTCCCATAACAATTTGCTGTAGTACCACTTGGGCCTTTGTGTCAAAATTATACTATCTTTAGTAGTATTCAACAATTATTTGCAGAGCCTAACCTGGTGGTTTTCATCTCTAATCCCTGAAGGTGTAGAGGCCTGGTGTGGGAGGTCCTTTTGTATATGTGTCGCTTTTATTGGTTAATGAATAAAGAAGCTGTTTTGGGCGTATGGCAGGGCAGAGTAGAGCTAGGCGGGAAAACTAAATGAATGCTGGGAGAAAGAAGGCAGAGTAAGAGAGACACCATGTAGCTGCTGAAGGAGAAAGACGCCTGTTGGAACCTTGCCAGTTGGCCACAGCCTCATGGTAATACACAGAATAATAGAAATGGGTTAAGATGTAAGAGCTAGCTAGAAATACACTTAAGCTATTAGCCCAACAGTATTGTAATTAACATGGTTTGTGTGTGATTATTTCGGGTCTGGGCAGCCAGGAAAAGAACAAGCAGCCTCTCAACAGAAGCCAGCTTGGTTTGTATAGGGAGTTCCAGGCTAGTAGCCAGGGATCCTGTGTCAAAACAACAAAACCTACAGTTCTTGCTAATCGAATAATGAGTAAAATCTACCCTTGAGTTTCACTTACATTTATTCTGTCAAGGTAAGAGTCCTGAGTTTGCTGCCACGGATACATTCTCCCTACAGTCAGAAGGCAGACAGTCTTAGAAGTGTGAGAAAACTAAACAAAGGCAACACAGAATAAAGTGTGGAGGTGGAGCTGGAAATCTAATCAAGAAAGATTAGATACAGAAGGAGAGAACATTGCCTGCAGATTAAATGTAGAGATTTCAACATAGCTCTGCCTGGACCAGGGGATTAGGACTCCAGTGGCTGGATCCCATTAGACATGCAGAAACCTGATCCTTAGGTTTTAGGAGCCTAGTAAAACATTTAGACCATAATCTAGATGCTGGAGAATTCGGA